GATATAAAATCAATCTACAGTCAAAGTATATTTTATTCTAATCCAATCTTTCAATTATATATTCACACCATCCGCGGTAAAGCGCGGGCCAATTATCTAGTTTTGGAAAAACAAGAGAACTGAAACATAGAATAAGAGAAGGCAGAAGGAGGATGATGATTTTGGTTTCTAATTTTCTCCTTCTTTAAGTTAGGTTTTAGCTAGAGGCCGGGAAGAATGTGGGAGGAAAAAGGATAATTTTGGTTTCTAATTTTCTCCTACCTAATTCGGCCAGTCCAAGCGAGTTGAACTCGTTGACGAGTTTTAAGTCGAGAGCAAATTTATGCACTTAATTGGCGGGTTGAGTTCGATGTGGATTTTGTTATAAAATGGGTCGCTTTCCGTCCTACTCTAGACCCATCTTCTTTTCTCTCTTTCCTGTTGCTACACCCAACAGACCAATGTTTTAGAAATCCTACCGTTGACCAGTCGTATAAAAAATATCATATGTGGACAAATTGATAACTTGTTTTGATGGTTGAACCACCATTAAATTAATAATTTTAGTACAAAATATCTTATCATTGTCTTTGGGACATAATTTTCAGTACGGTTTCACAATCCTTGTTGGAGATGAAAGCTCACTTCACCAGCACTAGCTTCACCGTGCACACCCTCCTCGGCTAAGCCAATCAATAAACAATAAAAACTAACATAAACCCGTTCGCATTCGCTTAGCGTCTGAGCGAGTAGGTGATATTTTTAAAATTAATAGTATGAATTTTGACCCAAAAGTAAAGAACTTGTCATCTACAACTTTATGTAGTCGACGCAACAATGAACTTTAATAAGGGAGAAGAGTCGTCGTGCAAATGATTTCTATGTTTAAGTTGTAAGCACCTGAACTTTAATAAGAGAAAAGGGTCGTCTTTCAAATTATTTCTATGTTCAAATTGTAAACACCGGGTTCAAGTTGTTTGGATCATATTGAATAGGTTGGATACCCATAGGTTTGGGTGCTCAACCAAAAGGAAAAAGATAAATGAAAAATAATAAAGCGGATAAAGGTCGCTCCATACCAAAAACTTTACACAGTGAGCTCAACTCACCTTGACTGGTTCGAACCGAGTTTTTAATAATTCACACTCTGCTCAACTTGCCAATTTTAAAAGTAGATAAAACGCACTCTCGATATAAAACTTGTTAACACTAGGTCTGGGTTCAATTGTCATTCTCATCCAAAGGAAAAGGAGAAATAAAAACCATTAAAGCGGACAAAACTCCGTCTCGATCCAAAACTCGTGCAACTCGCTTTGACCCGATCGAATCGAGTTCTTAACAAATTCACACTCAGCTCAACTTGCCAACTACAAAAGCGGATAAAACTCGCTCTTGATACAATACTCATCAATACCATGAGTTTGGATTCAATTTTCATTCTCAATGAAAAGGAAAAAATAGAAATTTAGAAATACTAATGTTGGGTTCGAGTATAGATATATGGTATAGAAGCACTGTTATTCCTTAGTGGTAAAGGGTGTTGCCACAAAGTACCTGAGTTTTGATGATAATATATACCAACTTATTCATAAAAAAATGTTGGGTTCGAGTCGCTTTGACCTGGTCGAGTTATGTTAGGGGTCGTTTGGAAGTTGCGATTGTTAAATAGATGTATTGTTGAGAATGCATGTATAATATTATACATGTATTGTCGAATTTGATGCATTGTAGAATACAACGTTTGGTATGTGTGATTGTGTATGTCGCATCAGTTAAAAGCTGAGACAAAACAATCTCAACTCAACTATCTCAACAATCACAACTAAAAGTTGAGATATAACAATCACTCAAAATGAGTGATAGTTTCTGTCACATCACAGAAACAATCCATGTATTGTTTCTGCTAAAAAAACAAAAAAACGATGCATTGTAAACAATACATGCATAATGACAATCTCAACAAAACTATCGCAACTTCCAAACGACCCCTTAGATACCCATGAGTTTGAGTTCAATTGTCATGCTTAACCAAAAGGAGAAAGAGAAATAAGAAAACATTAAAAAAATATGAAACTCGATCCCAATACAAAACTCGACAACATATAGGTAATATAATGAGAGAGTTGGGTAAAAGAATGACTTGAAACTTTCCCACCTGCACTTGGGAGAATTTGGAAGCCACTAATGAATAGTAACTCCAATATTAGTGTTATGGACAATCCAAGTAACACATCGGAAATACAAGGGAATGAACCCTTGTATATTAGTATCCACCTAGCCCAACTAGTACGAGGCCTTTTGGGGAGGACATCCAAGAGTAAAACCGTGCGGGCTTGTCCCAAAACGGACAATATCGTACTAATGGACCAGCCCGATTTGACAATTAGGCTTTTATATATTAATTAATAATGTGGTATATGGTGGATTCCCATGTGGGAATGATACATAATTGCAGAATACAAAAAAAGTTCGATCAGAAAAGCAAAATGGAATAAGCAAAAAATGTTGCCGACTTGATTGTACCACATTACGTACGTATCCCAGCTCTCTTTTTTACTTCAGGGAATATTTTGCCGATTGCATTCCACGTACGTACCGTGAGGTTTCCTAGGCCCTGTTCACTTTCATTTTCGTTTCCTGTTTTCTGTTTTCATGTCATAAATTTGGCAACCGAAATGAGAAAACTTGTTTACTTTTCATTCCGTTTTCTATTCGTTTCCAACTATGAAAACAGAAAGTGGCAACTTCCTGCTGTTTTTGGAAACGAAAAAAATGTTGTTTTCACCTGTTTTCAACATCTGTTTTCTCAAAAACAGGAAACAGAAATGAAAGTAAACAGGCCCTTAACGTTTCGGACTCGATCATCAATGTCTTAACGGTAGCTGCATTTCTTCGTCGTCGTCATGTGCAACTTCACTCTCTAGCATACCACCGGCGCGACGTAACAAGTATGCTTTGGCTGCTTTCCGTCGTCCTCGCAATCGTACTGTTACTGCGACAACTACTGCTAGCAGGACTTATTGTGGACAGTGCCTCAAGGTAATTAAGTAGTAAATTGAACTTATTGATCGCGGTGTATATATTAACTAATTAATTTGACACATGGTTTAGTTTATCATCCATGGATATGTGTGTGTACATATGTAGTTGACAAATCTCGAGACGGGAGTTGAAGCAAAGGTGCGAGTCGTTCACGAACGTAATAATGTCGAAGGACTTGAATTGGATCGCGATACTTTCAACAAGCTAAGGACTTACGACGACTATGGAAATAAGGGTGAAGATGGTGACTATCATGGTGATCACCTTGTCTTGAAGTATCAGTTCGAGAATTGTGAAGATTGAACAAGAAAGATATGATTGGAGGCTATATATAATTGATCAACACATATTAGTCCCTCCAATAAATGTCAATGATATAAGCTAGGTTCCTAGAACACAAAGCACAAGAGTTAACCGGTTATTATGACATGAGTAATCAGGAGGTGATTGGATAATTTATCAAATATCAATTCAGAACTTCAGAGAAACCAATATTATTAGAAGACTCGGTAGTCCTACGGGAAAAGAGTGATCTTTCGCAGTATTTTGATTGCAACAATAATTAAAAGTGTTTGTTCAAAATTAGGGATGACAACGGCCGGGCGGTGGGATGGGGCGGTTAAAGGGGTCCAATTTGCTGGGATTGATGATCCTTTGCATGCTGAGATCCTCTCGCTTCGGGACGCGATTCTTTGGTGTATTGAGTCTGGATTTGACCAAATGTTGTTTGAAGGGGACGCGAAGACGATTATTGATAAACTCAACCAGGCGGATACGAGAGATAGCCGGGTTGGAGCCCTCGTTGAAGAAGTTCTGCATTGTTTATCCGACCATAGTGGGTTCTCTGTGCGGTTTGTAGGTCGGCGTAGTAATAGAGTAGCCCATTTGGTGGCTAAGAAGGCCCTTCATTTGTATCCGACTGCGAGTCGCTTCTTTGATTTTATGGCCTGGCTAAATTCCAGGATGTCACTATCTATTTTCTTATCAATATATGATTATCTTTTGTCCAAAAAAAAGGGGTTGGGGCGGATAGTGCATATCAGTTATTCTATCCAAAGTAGTTCGAGTTTTACCCATACCCACATAAGAATTGGGTATAAAATCAAAATCATGTTCATACCTGTTCGGGTTTCGAAGATCCATGCATAATAATTTCTCTTAATAACTCCAACCAACATGTTAACATTCATACGTATTTTTACGTTACATAAGTGGAAAAAGTACGAAAGTAATTCATTAGAATGAAAAAAATTAATTTCAAGCAAGACAACTTTACTTCCATTTCTGTTTTCTTGTCTTGGTCTAAACTTTATAATCGAAACGGAATCCGGCTCGCGGATTCATTTTGGAATATTTGCCCAGCTACGCATCTAAACTTGTAATTTACCCTGAATCCACATCAAAAGGAAGACCACGTGGAGGCGCCTGTGAGGAGGAAGAGTGCAGCGACACTAGGTCAGCCAGTGAGGAGGAAGAGACGCAGATCTCAAATCCAACGAGCCGGGTTGGAGATGGGATCTTACCAATGCCAAAAACTGGATCTTCTGCAGCAAAGAACAAGGGACCAAAGATAAAATGCCAGATGGACCGAGACCTAGCTATGTAGGCCAGAGGATTGTGCCATGGAAACCAGCTTCAAGGAGCAAGTTTGGCTCGCGCACGAGAAGAAACACAGTGGTATTGGTGGGTGTCATAATCGGGGTTGATCCGCTAAACAAACTTGGATCTCTCCTAGATCCATCAGACAGACGCGGACCTCACTTGATTCGCCAAACCAGATGTAGCCCGAACGTGGATATTTTGCGGATCCACGAAACCAAACGCAGATCTCAAATCCCGAGGTCACCGAACGAGGGTCCACTGAACTGACGTCCACCACCATGTATCCGAACCAGGCTATGATACCACTTGTCAAACCGGGGTGCTCAATTAGTACGAAAAGTTGAGGTATCTGGTTACCTCTAGTGATTGAAACTGAGTTATAGAAGATTCGGGCCCCATACATAAACATTAGGCGGTAGGTAGCTTAGAGCAGAGAGGCAAGTCAAGTTTGTGGATCCTTCGATGTTAACTTGTCGCAATCGCTTCAAACCAGACAGTCCCTCTGGTAATGTTTCAAATGATGTGCAACTACTGAGCACTAGCCATTCCAAAGATTTCAAATCAGCAATGCCCTCAATCTCACGCAAATTTGAAGCACCGGTGACAGTTAACGCTTCCAACTTTTGCAGTTTTGACAGGGAAGGTAGTTTCTGTATTGCCAAGCCACGCAACGTGAGTCTTGTCAACTCTTCCAAGGACTCGAGCCCCTCCAGCAGCAGTTCCTTGTCTACATCAACAGCCTCCAACTGCCAAACTTCCAACTCCAGAAGCCTCGGAAACTTAGACAGATGAAGCATCTGGCCAAAGCTAGTCTGCAGCAGCAATGCAGATCCACCTATGGACAGTTCTTGTAATGAGTGGAGTACTAATTGGCTGGCGCCACCACCACCACCAAGTTGCTGGTCATGGGATGATAGTGCTGCGAGACAAGGGCAACCCCATATCTGTAAAATCTGCAGCTTGTTAAAAGACAGAAGAGTTCCAAGGCCTTCGAGAAGACTTAAGCTATCTTCACTCACAATACTGAGCACTTGCAATGATTCCAGGCCTTCAATGCCTTGGATTTCAACGAGATGAGGACATTCATATGAATGAAATTTGCATAAATTGCTCAAAGACGCGAGGCTGGGCAGCCTTCGCAAAGCATGACAACTTGAGATTTCCAACGTTTTCAAAGCCACAAGACAGTCAAGGCCTATAAGATTACTCAAACTCACTCTCTCTATTATCAAAATTTCCAAAGATTTTAACCCTCCTAAGCCTTGGATCTCCTTGAGCGCTGGGCAGTCGTGAATGGATAGCAAAGTCAAGTTTTCCAGATTCTCTAAATTTGGGAGCCAATCCAGTCCCCAATATTCACTGATATCCAGCCTGGTAAGAGTTGAAGGAAGCAGCCTGAAAGGTCGAAGACTAATCGTCGTCGTCATCCTTGTTCCATAGAGTTCCATAGACTTCAACTTGGACAATTTCCACCACATGGTGTCTGCTGGGGGGATCTCAAGCCCATAGGAACAGTCTCTAACAACTAATGTCTCCATCTCAATAAGCTCAGAAAGGTTAGCAATGGGAGATGAAGTGATCAGCTCCTTCAAACTTGTGGGTAACCGAATCCCAGCCCGAGTTCCATGTGTCGCCACAATATCAGTGCCACTTGCTCTCAAGTGTTTAAGAACCTGTAGTTCCCCAATGTCAGCAAGGGCTTCTCCTAGATTCTCACAACGGAATTCTGTGACATCAAGCTCTCGCAGCTGTTTAAGCACCCCAATGGTTCCACCCGTTATCTTTCTTACTCCACCACCTTTCAGGAGCAGCACTTTCAGGTTGCTTAAATTCCCAAGATCTAGGTCCGCAGATCTCAGCATGAGGCAACTGAGATTCAGTATCTCTAGACTGCCAGATGTTGGGAAGCAGGGAAGTCTCGTCATGTTATAACATTTAGTAAGATCTATAACCTTCAGCTTTTCTGCCACCTGAAAAAAAGAATGACAAGTAGTACAGCTTATGGATGGCGGTTGTTACGTTCTGTAAACAAGTATTATTTGAGTAGTAGGATACAAATACAAACCTTGATGATATTGCGCCAACCTCCCCAATCATATGGAACATCGCTTGAATGGAGGTCAAGAATTGTCAAATTCTCCATCTTCAAATTAGTCAGCTTATTATGACCCGCATTTCGGTGGTAGTGCAGACGAAACCATCTCATCTTTGGTAGAAGATTACTGAAATCTCCAATGAGCATTGTATATTCTGCGTCCAAATATCTCAACTCCGACAAATTTACGAAACAGTCGCTTGCCATCTCCTTCGCAACAAATGATCCTGAATTCACTCTGAGGGTCTGGACTTGGCTTGGTCCCTGTAAAAAGAAGTGGGTAAAATCAATCAATATATCATTCGTTTTAACTCGAAATTTAAGACATTTTGCATAGAAAGAAGTAAAGAACGCATTGATTATGATCACACAATGATATCCACTATGTTTGAGCAAAGAAAAAATTAACTCTTCAAAACACATTTTGTGTAGTTTCATAATGATATGACAGTGGTATTAGGGGTGATAAACGGTTAGTCGGTTATCGGTTTTAACCGATAACCGAACCGATAAAGTCGGTTAGTGGTTAACCGATAACCGCTACTTTCTTATTGATTTCGGTTTCGGTTAGTAGTATTTTGGTTAGTGGTTAACCGCTAACCGATTAATCGGTTAGCGGTTAACCGATAAGAAAACCGATAACCACCTACTAGTGTGACTACATGGTTTTTTACTTTGGCTAAGGGAAAAAGTTGTAAGATTCAAAATCAATCAAAGTTGCAATTCCAAACATCCCAATTCTCACCTATTGCAAACAACCCTCCATCAAAAGTCTCAAATGTTTTTAAGAGTTAGAACTCGAAAGTCACCCCTCTCTAAATCCCCTTTGCACTCGATAGAGTGAACCTTAGGTTGATGACTATGGGCTAGATGAAGATCTTGGAGTAAATGATGACTATGGGCTAGATGAATTGGAGCGAGATCTTCGGATCATTTAGGTTGATGATTTGGAGATAATGAATTTGTTATTTGTGTCTTGTTGTGATTGTGACTTGTGGTTGAATTGTGGGCATGTAGACTTTATGTTGCGGAGTTGTGGTTGAATTGTGTGGTTGCTTTAGACTTTATGTTCAATTGATTTAAATGACTTTATGGTGTGTGATTATAGAGGCTGAAACAAAAGCAGGTCACTCAAAATTGAGGGTGAATCATTAAAAAAGGTGGTTGAAATTTGGTTTTGGGTGGTCGATTTCTGAACGAAAACCGAGAAAGTGAACCAGAACCTGCGGTTTCGGTTAACCGCAAGGGAAAACCGAAACCGATGTTTGAGGTTTTCGGTTAACCGAAGTCTCTGTCGGTTTCGGTTAGTGATCTTGGGACAATTTTGAATGCGGTTAACCGATATTTCGGTGCGGTTAAACCGAAACCGCACCGACTAACACCCCTAAGTGGTATGATGACTCATCTACTTAATTGTAACTCATACTTTAAAAAAATTGTCCAGAAAGAATGTGTTACTAAAGATTTTTACAATGATGTTCATTTTGTTAACTATGTTAACATAAGACCTCATTCCAACATCACAGTGTCATACTAATATCATTGAGTGTCATATCATGATATTATCAAGATATGACACTGATGGTGGCTTCTATCGCACCTTGAGTAAAATCTAAGGTACAACATACCCTGAGTAACAAAACGCTATCTAGACCTCGAATTAATCGGATTTTTGGGCATGATACTATACCCTATCTATTGATGAGTGAACCCTATGTCTTAGTTATCTAAATCATAGAGTCTAACCCCTAAGATTGTGCATGTAATTTGTTGCACATATTTTGACGAATCATAACCCGTCAAGTTGATCTTAGAGTATGAGATTTATAGAATTAAAATCGAGATTTTAATCTTTAAGGATTTGTGAATAGTGTCAGATCCCAAACTCTAACCAATTCAAAATCTAGATATAAGTTTCTTAGACTGAGAATCAACGAACTGACCCATCAGACAATCACGCCCATCTTTCCTATCTATATATACTAGCTTCTAGTTTCGGCCATTTGGCCTGAATTTTTATCATTTTTATTTTAAATAAATGATATGTTTTTTATAAATAAAATAATAAAAGACTGGTTAGATAGTTATTTTAATTTAGAGTTTAAACGACAGCTAGGTAACATATCAAAAAATTTCTAATTCATAATTTTAAAAAATAATTTTACATGAAATTCAAAAAAATTGTGGTGCACTAATCCTCCTATTATCTATATTTAGTTACACTAAAGTTTAAAAAAAAAACTATAACTCTTGACAGGCCTAATATAAAAGATAAAAACATCAATAAAAAATAGAAAAGGTTTTGAGAACTAATGGACAGTTCGATCAATAAAGTGGGGAGAAAATAATTTATACAAAATACAACCAAAACAATGTGGAAACATACCTTCTCTCTACTTAGCAACTCCAATGCTTGTGGGTTTGACCATATTCTACTTCTTCTCAATGGATTTTCAACATTTTCTCGATGGACAATGTTTATACCGAGATCCCTAAGTTGATCGTGCATTTGAAACTGATTGCCATCCCCGATTTCAATAAGCGACCGCTGAAGAAGTATGATAACATTACTTATGGGGTAAAATCCACAATCAGCCCACATGTAACTGGCCATCTCTTTGTCCTCTCCAACGAGGAAACAAGCAATATCCAAAAAAATCTGCTTTGCCTGGTAGTTTAATGAAGCGTAGCTGATCATTAATACCTCCACAACCTCTTCCTCGAGTGTGTGTTGTTGAAACTGGGCTAGTTTTTCTTTCCAAAACCCTTTATCTTCCTTATATAAAAGTGATCCTACAACCTTGAGTGTGAGTGGAAGTCCCCCCGTGGTAGAAACAACATCACTGGACAAGGTTTCATAACCTGGCAGAGGAGAATCCAGATCGAATGCATGCTTGTAGAAAAGCTGAAGTGAGTGAGTATGACTCATTCCACGAACTTTATAAAGCTTGTCATCTTCCGTGAAAGTTCTCAAAACTCTGACGTTTCTAGAAGTAACGATAAATCTGCTTCCAGATGCGAAATTCTCGAACTTTCCTAATATTTCGTCGAGTTTAGATTTCTCGTCCACATCGTCGAGGATAATAAGCACTTTGAATCCGGACACCCTCTCACGTATGATTCTGATTCCGTCACTGACACTAGTGATAGGTTCAACGGTTGTCAGTCTCATAACGTCCGAAATTATTTTCTTCTGCAAACTAATAATACCGTCCCTCTGCTCTAGTGTTTCTCGCACGTTGCCTACAAAGCTACAGCGAGCAAAACTACCTGATATTTTGTTGTAAACAGCCTTTGCAATGGTGGTTTTACCTATACCACCAATACCATGAATTCCAACCACTCCCACACTTGCAGAATCGAGTTCCATCCTTTCTTTTACTGCTTCTATATGATCATCTATTGCAACCAATTTGTCAGTCTCTACTACATATATGCTCTTGCTTAGATGTGACCATATAATGCTATAAACAAGATCCGTAATAGCTCCCTGCCTGAAAATTTTGGTATTTGAATATGTCAACCAAACTATATATGCGTGTGAATAGGGCATCATCAACTTCGTCCATTTTAACTGATTAGGTATTGACGTTGTAAGTCGGAGTTTATTTTCAAGAAAATTATCGAGAAAATAAAAAAAAAAAAGTGATATTTGGGCTACTGAAAAGAAATAAAATATTTAATTTGTAACAATAAGATAACAAAGAGGCGCGAGGAAGAGATGCATACTTATCGTTGCTTTCGACATGCCATCCTTTCAGAGCTCCAACTTTACTCAGAGCATCTCTCCACTCTTGTACGGTCCTCTCATCAAAACTCCTTGAGCGCTTTCGAAATGCCTGCTTGAAAGGACCGGTTTGATGTCGTACGTCGCTGGGATTGACCATGTAAAAAATGGGGAGTATGATGCAACCCTCCTCGTGTTTTTGGCGTTCAACAATAGCGGCCAGCTCTCTGAGACACCATTTACTGTTGGCGTAGTCCTCCGAGAAAATCGGAACGTAAATCTTCGATTGCTCGATGGCCTCGACGAGGTTTGGCCATATCCCTTCCCCTTCCCGGAGATTCTCATCGTCTAAAAATGTTCGAATCCTCAAGCGAACCAGAAACCGATAAAGGATATCGGTGATCTGATAACGAGTGTCCGGGCCTCTGAAGTTCAGAAACACCTCGTATTCTCCCGAAGGAAGAGGCAGCTGCCAAGTATCGGAATCAACACCAATCGATGCATCCGATGGGTCAGCCGCGGTGGAAGCCCCTTCAAAATAACTCATTGCTTCATAAAAACACACCCAGACATTACAAACTTTTGTGTCAAGGGCTACTAAGAAGAATAAGATGTCTCAAGGACTAACAATTAACATGCAGATTCAGAAGGAAATGGAAGAAATTGAAGCATGAAAATGGCGGATGATAGAAATTTGAGGACTGGTGGAAACAATCAATATTCGTACATCCAAATTCAATTCCAGCAGATATTGTCAACAGTTAAGGATTAATGGATCATGTATACGTTCATTACCAGCTGGAGAGAGCGGATGATCAGTATCAGCTTCTGGAGCAGAAATTGGAAGAAGGAAAGTGAGGCAGCGAGGAGAGCCAAGACGACTTGAGACGACTGTGGAAAAATGGAAGCTTAATTAAGGAGCCGATCGAGTAGTCTTTTCTCAAAGAAACTGAGAACCGCGTCGGCAGTGTGAACAAGTGGTGGGAAATAATTGAAGGTATTAGAGTCTAGTCGTTGGATACTAGTGGAGGTAAAGATGCAACTTGCATGTAGTGTGAACGTGTGGAAGGAAATTAAGGGGTCGTTTGGAAGTTGCGATTGTTTCGTTGAGATTGTCATTATGCATGTATGGTTTACAATACATTGTTTTTTTGTTTTTTTAGCAGAAACAATACATAGATTGTTTCTATGATGTGACAGAAACTATCACTCATTTTGAGTGATTGTTATATCTCAACTTTTAGTTGTGATTGTTGAGATAGTTGAGTTGAGATTGAATTTAGCCAACCACACATGAACTCGTTCTAAAAGATTTTGTCGAATGTGCAAAATGTATTTCCCCACAGCCACGCCACATTGTCTTCCATCACATGGCATCAGTTCACTTTTCAAAATTAGAACGGTACATAACGTGATTATAATAATCTGAATCATTAGTCAACCTAATGTCATACTTATTGTTTATCAAAATAGACCATTAACTACAAAACCAATGTTGTTAACTAAAATAAATGATTTTGAAACTAGAATAGCCCATTAATAACAATAGGATTACATTAATCAATTCAATGTATATGAATGATCCAAAATATCTATATGTGATTGATGGGCTATTCTAGTTACAACGATTTAGTGCTTAAAATTAGGATAATGTCTATTTTTTATCCAAACCCTTTTCAGATTCTTTTATATTATCCAAACCTATTAAAATGCTATTAATTAGCCAAATCTTTCGTAATGCATCAAAATATTAGCCATTTTTACGTTATCATTAATAATTTTGTAACTTTTTTCTTAGTTAAAATACTAAAATTTTGGAATGTTGACATTCATGTGTCTCGTCCAAGTCAGTATCATGTTGCCAAGTCAATATTGCTAAAAAATTTGCTAACTGAAAATTAACATTTGGGTAACTTTTAGCATTTTAATAGGTTTGGATAATATAAAAGAATCTAAAAAAGGTTTGGATAAAAAATAGACATTGTCCTTAAAATTATTGTCTTCGTATATATCCATATTCTATGTCTAAACTGTATAAAGATTAGGTACTAGACAATAATTTCAAGTTGTATGTGAACATCCAAAAAAGCAACATTGAATATGGAGAGGTGAGGGAATATCATCTCTAGTTTCGACAAGAACTTCCATTGTCGTCATTATTTCTTGGGAGCTTATTAAACTTGGTATCAATACCATCAAGCTACCTTGAACAAAAAGTCAAGCACTCACCAATTTTATATGCTTCTGCTATGGAAGCCTCTGGATGAGCTTTATTACGAACATAAGACTTAAGAGTTCGCAAAAAAACTTTCCAATGGGTACATCCATGTTGTTTGCAGTGGTCCAACAATCATAGACTCCATAGGCAAATAAACACACAAATGCACTATGATGTCAAATAATGAATGATGGAATATCATCTCTAATTTGCATAAGGTCATCACAATTCGGCGTTGAAGGCGATCTAGATCATCAACACTCGGACTTTTGCAGCACAAGTCTCGAAAGAACGCGCTTAATTCAATCAATGGTTCACATACTTTCTTTGGTAGATGCCGCCTAATTGCAAAAGGAAGAACTTGCCATTTCTGAATGGCTATGGCCATAGGACCTCTGGGCCATCAGGGTAGTTGCAGCTTTGGCCAAATCTGTGGTGGAGATGAATCCAGCTTCATTTCGAAGATTCATGAGGTTGATTTGCTACATGCCGGAATGTATGGGATGGGATTATATATGTGACTATGAGAAGTTGGGATCTTCTTCTGCCAATCTCCCTCATCTTCTTCCTATGTTTCTTTTCATCAATCAAATTGGGTGAATCCAATCAGAAAAAGAAGAAATTGTGAAAAGCCAATCAGATCGAAAAATAAGAATTTGCCAGTGAGTTTTTCATGGATTTTATTTCCCAATTCTCCAAATCCAATGATGAGGAGTTCCCCAAATGTTTATAGACATATAAATCCTCACATACACTAAAAAAAAACCCTCTATGCCAAGGGTTACGTTGCAAGGGTTAGATAAACCCCTACAAAAAATTTCGGAAATCATTTTAACAAGGGTTTCTTTCGAGGGTTTAGTAACCGTTGCTAGCGAACAACTCTATTTCCTTACCCCACCAAAAGTAAGAATAAAATAACCCTCATCCTAAAAAAATCCCCAATTCTCCTCTTTTTCGCCTCTCTTTTCCTCCCCAAATCGTGGATCTAAGCTCCGAACTCGGCCATCGCCATCGCCGCTGCCATAGACTATGGAAGCCTTCATTTCAATTAGTTCGAGAACATCGCACAGCGGAATCAACAATGTTACTGGCAGATCGCTAGGCCAGAGCGGAGCTTCATCGCATCGCTAAGAAAGTGGTCGTACTCGTGCTTCCTGCCGTTGGCAAGCTTCTTCGCAATAGCCGCAAGAAAATATGGTTTAATCACCGGATTGATGTTGTGAAAGCAGCAGTGGAGGTCGATGGTGATTGAGCTAACAATCGAAGACGACACTGTCCCTGTATCATATATGAAATTAGGGTTCACATGTAGTTCCTCATATGTCTTCCCCTGCGTAGGATTGCGATTTCGTTCAATTATTCTATCGGTTTCGATCGAACATTCTCCTAGTTATGTGATTTTAGGTTTATTGTTGTGATGAGCATGGAACCTTCTGTCTTTCATGTCGACTGTGGATCTTACTATCACTCGAAGTGCGGCGACTTGATGTGGACACTAAGTTCTTTCTAAATAGACAAGGTTTTAGAGTTAGTAGTCCTCCGGTCTTTCTATCTGGAGCTATTTGGACTTATTTACTTACTATTCCATTCTCTTCCCCAATTTTTGCAGCTTCGGAATGTGAGGATGGGGACTGATGTTGAGATTGGAGCAAACAGTTGGGCTAGCAGGGGCAAGTTGGAATCATCTTTAAGAGGTGAGCTCTTGTAGGTTGAGTTATGATGATGTGAGTATGATTGACTTAAGTCCTAGTCCTTATGATGTTTTCTCTCCTTTTATATGATAATACTAATGCTAACATTACTTGATCTTAATTCAGGGCTGACTTCCTGTCAACTAGAGTTGGGTTGTAGTTCAAGAATAATCGCAGGAGCAACTTGATTTGTAAAAGATGTGTATGATTATTTCTGCTTCTTCTTAATCCACTCAATTATGGTTTGTTATTTACTTGATTCTATGTTCTCGTTCTCATTGAAATTTCATGCCTAGTAATTCGACGCTAGTAAGACTTCCATCTTTAGTTCTTCTATATATATGTTAGTTCATTTTACCCTCAGTTACTTAATAGGCAGATCCAACAATTTCGCATGGCTGCTGAAGGTAGCATGATTAGACTTTTGATTGGTTTAAGTGTTGGTTATATTATTGTTGAGGTGGGATTAGAACCGTTGAGCTGCTGCTGCAAAAAGGGAAGTGTCTGCCAATCAAATGGAAGATTCCCTCTTGTTTCTCTGGATTCCTTGCGGGAAAACAGTGTGGGAAACTTTATGGTGACGCTCTCTGATCCCCAATAGATAGGTACATGATACTGCCAGTTGGTCTAGATCATTGAAAGTGTAGGTTCTTCCTTCTTTTGATCGGTTGTTGCAATCTGTGTTCCAGGAAAATCTCTAATGTTTAGTTCAGCTTTAACTTTGCAATTTATTTGAGGCTTAATTGGACATCCAGAGATTCTAATTCCTTTTGTTTCCATGACTTCGTTCTGGAGGGTTTGTCAATCCAATGTACCGCTCTGATGGTTATGCCAACAAACTTGGCGTGTTTTCTTCCAAGTGGAGTTCTTTGTCCTTTGGTACAGATTTTTCATCCTTTCTGGCTTCTGCATCTTTATAGTCTAGAGTTTCCAAACTGTAGTTGGTGATTTTTTTTATATGGTTAAGTGCATCTATAGTTCTAAGGGCGATATAGTTCTATCATTTTGTTCCTCAGTATCATAATATTTTTGCTGTTCAGACCATGGCGAAGTTCGTCAGTAGGAAGTTTTCAGGACAAAACTGGATGGAAGATGCTGAAAACAATCAGGTAATGTCTCATCTGTCTTTTTTCTTGGTTAATTATTTCTGACTGATTCTGGTTCTGGGTTTTCTACCCTGGTCGGGGTTTAAGATCAAAACTTTGTTTTCTTGATTAGTATAAGATGATCCTTACTCTGCTACTACATGCACCTGAAGGGTAATTTTTTGATCCAATTAATAAACATTGATCATGATCCGATTTCATTAACTGGGAGTTGGATTAGGTTGAAGTGGTAGGCAGGACTCTGTATCAGCAGCTTTGATTCAAATTGGTGCTATGTAATAGCCTGCTTAGTGATATGTTTGGGTGTAACAGGACTTGTAAATTACTTATTAATCTGTTGCCAATCTTAGTAGCTTGGCACCAACTGTCTCTTCCCTTTTTCGTTTCTTGTTCTAGGGATAGAGTTTGGTCAGCTGATCTTGTTTACAGTACACACATGGAAGTAACCTACATTGTTAGTTATGGCACTTTTTATTTTATTTTATGAGCAGGGTGCCACTAGTGCTCCTACACCATCAATGGGATCTCGAGCTTCGTGATCAAATGTCGTATGAAGCATTTTGGAAATAGTCGATGGTAAAGAACACCATGTAAAGAACACCATTTTGGATTATGAATCATATTATGTTATTATTCATGGGTATATGGTATGAATTTGGTCATGTAAAGAACACCATTTTGGGTTCTTTTGAGTATGCTTGAATGTTCATGGTGATTAGTATTTAGTCATGTAAAGAACACCATTTTGGATTATGAATCATATTATGTTATGATTAATGGGTATATGGTATGAGTTTTAGTAACAAACTTGGTTCTGGATTTGTTTTAATGACCAGGGTTTGCAAGCTTTTGCCACGAATCTTGTTGCCTCTCTTTAGTGACGACTTTTAGTGACCATTTTGATTTCGACACAAATGTTTTTTTAGCTTTAGTCACAAACTGTGCAAGGATTTTAACCCTTGCAAGTAGCGTATCTTCAGCAATTTTACATAAAGTTACAAAGGCCCGTAGCAAGGGTCGAAACCCTTGCTAGATGTAGGAACGAATTATGCAAGGGTTATAACCGCTGGTATGAGCAACACATGCTTGAATTTTCACATACGTGTAGCAAGGGTTTAACCCCTTGCTACAACCGATGCAGGAGACTTGCACCAAGGGTCGTCCATAACCCTTGCTACACGTAGCAGGGGCGACTTTGCCAAGGGTCCGTCCAAGGGTTGGTTAAACCCTTGCTACAAAGGAAAATAACCCTTACCATAGACCTTTTTTTTGTAGTGATATATAGAGAGATTCATAGCAAGCATTTGTTGTTGCATCTCAAGTTGAAATAGAAACCAGGGTTTATATATAGCACATAAATATTTATTTTCCATTCGACTCGTAGTAGTAGTCGAATACCTTATTTGTATCTACTATAAAGTAGAAACCCCCACACTCCATGAAAACCAAAACTCTTCTATGTTTGTTATTCTTTGTCACAATTCATAGTATTCATCATCAACAACTCTCAAATTGATACTCCACCGAAGAACTCTCTGGAACACCTTTACGGCCATCGATGTCGAGTTTGTTGAAGGTGTCCACGTCCAACTCGAGCCCCTCGTTGTCACCTTCGCGAACAACACGTACCTTCACTTCATGATGAACTCCTCCGACACCAAGATTCGTTACCTAAGGCTCCCATAAATCGCAAGTTAAACCACCCTATGATTTGATTATTAGCAGGAAAAAAGTGGAAATTGTGAATGATGAATGTTATTAATTACCTTCAAACATCGGCCGCAATAGGTAGTAGCATTTCCATTTCGAGTTGCGAAAGCAGCCCAAGGATACTTGTGAAGGGCAGACAAGGGCAGGCTCGAGAGGGAAGTTGCACAGGACGACGACGAAGAAGAAGAGGCAATAATGGCCGCCGCGGCTATGATAACTTGATGACGATGATGATAGTCAGTGGCGGAGCCAGAGGAGTTAGGCTCTGTCACGAGAGACATACAAATTTTAATAAAACGACGATAAAAACAAATTCTTATATATGCATATGAAAAAGGATTAAACTCACCAATTTAAGGTGAATATATTTTCACCAATGTACTAAACCTCACTTATTGTTAATCGATTATTACGAATTAATTTATTAAACTATAACTGATATACTAAATCGGCGTAGTTTATATTCTCGAAAAAAAAAGGTACACACCTGATTTCAATTTCTGGCTCCGCGACTGATGATGGTGGTGGTCGTCGATAGCGGTAACCACTACGGCCGTTCCTCCCGTCCCAGCTCCTCCGGAAGCAGGAGGCGGCGGCGTCGGCGGTGAAGGACAATAGTTGGTACAATGCATCCAGTCACAATACAAGTCGCCGTCGCCGCAGTAACCCCACAGACCACAGCAGCGTCCATTCGCCCGGTCGCACGCACCCCAAGTCCCGTCGGTGAGTTTGCCACACCAGTGGTCCGACCGCTCCGGCGGAAAGGCCGACGACGATTGAGTAATCAGCTGGCCTGCCACTGCGACCAACAACAACAGTAGTACTAACAAACTCTCCATTTAATTGTCTATTATTATTATTTCTTTTTTACGTGTCTGTGATTTGTATGAAATGGGAAGCAGCTTTCTAGACCGCATTTATATACGTAGAGTAACATCGATGGACCTGTTGGTGTTGTTTATTATTCTCCAGCTATTTGAGTTGGTAAGGTATCTGTGCCATTGGTGGTGACGGGATCCCTTTGTTTTCTTCGTCGTGTTCTTACTTACGGCTCTTATTCTTGTTAGAGAGTTGTATAAGATTCAGCATAATTTTCTTCCAACAATTTGAGTTATTGAGATCAACGGGTTCTTGACAATTCTGTAGTTATGGGTGTGGGATAATCCCAAATTTAATTAGGGTGGATAGTATTAATAGTTAGAAGCATCCACCGAACTCGACCGTCGCGGCAGCCGGCCAGACCATATACCTAAACTTTTGGTAACTCCCGAATCCCCGTCCAATATATTCCTTAGTGGAAGAGAAAAAAAGAAGAAGGAAAAGAACAGAAGAAAAAAAAAGTCTCCATTTGCCCATAGAAAAGCAATGACGTCAACAATATATATACTTAGAAGTTTGCAGAAGTTGATTTGTTTAACTCAAGGAAAACATCTCTGGTGTAAAATACATCACGCGCTAATTATGTTTGAATTGGTGTAGACATACCATTTAAGTTTACTGCTAAATGCATTCCGTTAAAGTTGACAGAATATTCTTGGAATATTTCGTTTTCTTAATTTCATAATTGGTCCTTTTACTTTTCTTATTGTAAAAAAAAATATATATTTGGACTTATGAAAAACATCATTTTTTATTGTTTAGTTAGAATCCTCTTTTGAATACTTGATATCAAACCAATTTTTGAATAGAAAATTTATAATCAATTATCATTATAATTATTTTCAATTATCATTATGTGTTCTAATAATTGAATTATTTCATGAATGTTGTAACTAAACAATGTTGTACTTTTTATAGTCATATTTTCTTTTCTACTTTTGTAACCGAATGTAGTAGATTTTATATTTTATTTATTATTTGGTTACTTTCCATCTCTTTTCGTTCTAAATTTTCTCAATTAGTGGAATATGTTTAATTTTTTCTGATTGTGATCCATTTATCCTTCTTTGATGTATTAATGATCGATTAGGTTCTATTTTAACTATTTCTAATGGTGCTTCTAATTGAATTAGGGGTTTAAATAGATATTATAATATTTATTTTAAATATTTATTATTATATTCTAGTATATTTATTTTCTTCTTGATATTTGTTTACTAATATAAATATTTTATTGACAAATTTTGAATAGTCATTCTAGTAATAATATGTTTAGAAGGTTTTCTAATTATTATATTAGATAAAACTTGTTGAAATATAGTTTTAGATGTTTTTAAAATTTTTGGGTATCAAAAAGTAATTAAAAGTTTGAGTTTGACGGAAAAGTAGACGGATGCACATTTTGGTGACATTAATGGTACCCGACGCCCTATTCTAACTAAAGTGGTATGTCTACCCCAATTCTCAAACGTTAGTGGCACGCGATGTATTTTACCCTCATGTTAGGTGACAAAACACATAAGGTCAGCTTATTTACATCATTTTGTGCTTATTTATGCTTATTTTATGTTTATTAACATAATACTATGGTGATTTACGTAAAAGTGTAAGTTTTTCACGTAAATGAAAATTCAGACTTTTTCCCCCTAATAATTTGTATTGGCTATATGTTATGGAATTAAATTTAGATTATCAATTGAACTGTAAAAAATATATTGCATTGATGACAACCATTGTGATATTTTTCAATGTTTAAAATTTTATTTTACAACGGCGTGAATAATTAACCATATGCGTGAATGAACATCAGGTTGCGTGACCTAACAATATTGGTTGCGTGAATAATCAAAACTCTTATGTGAATAATGCAAATATGACGTGAATGAAACAAATATGACGTGAATACAGCAAATATGGTGTGAATACCCAAAATCAGGTGTTTTGTCACCTAACGTGACAAGAGACTTTACCCTTAACTCAATTATTAATATCGGTGATGATGACATTTGCATAAAAGATTATTTTGCCGTAACAAATTCTGATATTATGTTAAGGATAAGTTGATCTCACTAATTTGAGTTATTAGACTTCTCTTAATAATTCGAGTTATTATAATAATTCATATTATATCATATCGTATATCATTTGGGCCCATATATCACGCCACATGAGCCATTATATGGTTGGAGTTAATAATAGTGTAAGAAGACGTGTATGTAGCTACCCAATAGTGGAATGACAACATATCATAGTGGAGTGAGAAAGTTTGTTGCTCCATTTCAAATTTATTGTAACAAAAGTGAAAATAAGAAGGGTGTTTTTTCAAATTTTGATTATTTTTAATTGGATTTTAATAATTAATTTAAATTTTTAAATATTTTATAAATGGATTATAATATTAAATTGCAGTCTAAATATTATTGATTTAAATATCAAATATTGAATTGCAGTAATGAATATGTTGGATCGGAGCAATGTCAAATTCTTAAATTAGTACTAACTTTCATACCTACTATATGCTGTGCAAACCATATATGACTTGTTCTATTAATGTTTAAGCACGGCAAACCACTAAGCATTAGAACTCTTGCTAATTCGGAATGATTAGATCCAACAATCATATCACGGGATGAGATTGAGTCTCATACGCTAGTTCATTTCATAATTTTTTTTTTTAATGTGGTAATGAACTTGTAGGATGTAAACGAGTGAAGATGAATTTGATCATCATGCATTTTGATTATCTCTCCATCATTAATTAACACACTGCATGAAAATTAACCAACACTCTCTATTTGCTCCCCTTTTGCATAACTTATAATCTTGGTCATCAACATCTCTCAAACCGATACTTCAACAAAATACGACGATACGACAACCTCCAGTACTTTCATGATGATCTGTGTCGAGTTTGTTGTAGGTGTCCACATCCAACTCGAACCCCCCGTCACCGCCACGTTCGTGAACAACACGAAACCTTTACTTCATGATGAACTCCTCCCTTCAAACAGCGCGGCCGCAATAGGTAGTAGTACTAGTACTGCGGCCACCCGTACAGCAGCCCAAGGATATTTGTGAAGGGAAGACAAGGGCAGGCTCGAGAGGGAAGTTGCACACGACAATGGCGACGACGACGACGATGACGAGGCATTAAAGTAGTGGTTTTCTGTGGCGGCAGCCATCACCACCACAATTTTTTTCCCCGTTGCAGGTCCTACGTCAGGAGGTGGTGGTGGTGGACACTGGTTGGCACAATGTTTGGGGCTACAATTTGCGTAGCCGTCGCCGCAGTAACGCGACTTACTGCAGCAGCGTCCTGGGTCGCATTGCTCCCAAACTCTCCATTATTGTTGTACCTATTTCTTTTGTTACGTGTCTTTGTTTATACTTTCGATTATTGGGCCACATTTTATATACAGCACTTGGTCTTATTTACTTTTGGAGGTAATTCGAGTTGGTAAGGTATCCGTGGCATTGGCGGTGACGGGATTCCCTAATATTTGATTAGGGTTAGAAGCATCCACCGAACTCGACCGTACTGGCCGGACGGGGCGGAGCATACGTAAGCTTAAATTATTTTGGACGTTTCGTTTGATGGAGCATATAAAACGAATGATATAGGCTACTAACTGATTCATCACCGACAAAATCTTGTCGCACCACTAACGCTTCCGTTCAAGCTTTTCGTAATGATACTAAATGTCGAGTGCGGACTCCAAAAACCACACAACTTACATAATGAGCTAGGTTAAGGGCATTCGATTCATAATTCTTTCTCAATAAATTATTCATTTCAAGCTCCATATTAATGTAATATATTGATCGAGATGAGCGCCATGGAGACCAGTGGTACGTTTCATGGACGATGGTGACCCTAGTCAGTTTTATGAGTTTTCTGGTTTACTTAAGAAAATTTGTGGTTTATTTTATGAGGTTTCTAGTATGATTTAAGAAACTTGTGATAAGTTTTATGAGGTTTGTGATATGCTTTAATGAAGTTGTGGTCTAGTTTGTGAGGTTTATGATATACATTAATAATCTTGTGATGTGCCTTATGAGATTTGTGATATGGTTTAATAAATTTGTACTCATCTTTATAAGGTTTTTGGTCTACTTCAGAGAACTTGTGGTATGTTTTATGAGATTTATGATATGCTTTAAAAAATTCGTGCTAAGCTTTACGAGGTTTCTGGTCTACTTTAAGAATTTGTGGTCTGCTTTATGAATTTTCTGGTATTCTTGAAGAAACTTGTGCTCAGGTTTATGAGATTTCTAGTATGATTCAGGAGGCTTATGGTTATCTTTATTATGTTTCTGGTATGTTTTAAGAAACTTATGATAACCTTTGGGTGTTCTAGTAGGGTTAATAGCATTTTGTACCCTTCTATTATCACAAATTAACAAATGTACCCTTCTAGTATCACAAAGTAACAAAAATACCCTTTTGTTAAAAAATTGGTTTACTCGTTATTAAATGTGATGAGAAATAACCCAATTAGCCCAAAGTGTATCATGAGTCATGACTCGTTTCTTATCATCCCTCTCCCATTGAGTCTTCGACTGTCGAGAAAACCTCATCCCTCCTAATTCCTTCTTCTCGTCAACGAAACAGCAGCCGCCAGTGAGATCAGCATCCCTCTATAATGTTCGCCTGAAATCGCTAGTCGTTGTCGTACTTGTCGTCCTCGTCAATCCTTGTCGCCGCCACCAGCGACCCCCAACCTTCCTCCTACCAATACGACCTTCAACCTACATCCTCTGTCCATTACCGCCGTCAACATTCACCTCCTCGACATATTCTTCCTTTCTTGTGATGGTTGGTTCGCGAGAAGCCGGAGTTTCAACAGAGAGCTGGCGAATCTGGGTTCGTGAAGGGAGAGCCCGAAAATTGAGTTCCGGATCTACCGTCTCTTCTCGGCGTCGGTCTTCCCATGAATCGGGAGCCACCGTCGAGACCATACTTCTGCATCCAAGAATCGGTCGGGAGTCGTCGTTGAGGATTGAGACCAGAGGAATAAGAAGCGTTCGATTTATTTTGGGAACGACGATTGATCTTGGCTTGGGGATTTCTGGGGATAGGGTTGCGATTTTAGGGATGGCGTTAAGGATGGAGACCAGAGAAAGAAGAAGCGTTCCACCTTCTTCCTAGTTCGCCGACACAAATGCTCCAAATTTGAAAATGTCTTCGCTCGCTCGACGATTCCGCTCTCTTTTTCTCCAATTCAGGCAGCGAGACAGGTGGAGAGGCTTGGTTTGCGCCGCCGTTAACACCCATTGACTAGGGATGGCAATTATGCCCATACCCATGGGTATTTTACTATCCAACCCAATTGGGTTGGGTATGAAATCCAAATATATGGATATGGGTAAAGTTTGATGGGTTTGTACCCATACCCATTTATTTTGGGTTGGGTTGGGTTTATAACAAATGTATTTGGGTTTGTACCCATGCCCAAATACAAATTACAGTTTGGTACCTAAACTTAATAGATATGCATATTTAGTACCTAAATTTAATTTTTTTTGCATATAAGTCCTCAAAACATCGATGGAAAATTACGTTTTGGTACCTAAATTTTTTTGGTCTTACATTTTGGTACCTAAAATTTTCAAGTTTTACAAATAAGTCCAATTTTTGCATGTGTAGTTAAGACACCCTCAAGTAAATGGATATTCATATCCAACCCATACCCATTTAGATAATATCCATATCTAACCCAAACCCATATACAAACCCCAAACCCATACACACATCACCCAAACCCTACCCATAATAGATGGGTCTACTTGGGTTTGGGCAAAATTACCCATGGGTGGGTAAATTGCCATCCCTACCATTGACCCCACCAATTTGCGACCCCCGCGAACGTGGATACCATTCACAACTCCAGGAAGCAGAGGAGGCCCCGGAAGCTAATCTATAGGAAAATCCCGCCGCCGCCAGCGACATCGGCGGAGGAGGTGGTGGAGTCTGTGCTGAGACGCGTTTTATTTTTTTAGTTTTTAATAGTAGTGGAAATGATGTGGAAAATTTAAATGATCAAATTTTATATTTTATTAATTTTTAATTGCCACATCAAATATTTAACTGTTAACTATGAAAGTTTGACTATCACATCAGAAAAAGTTAACGGACTTGGACGGAGAATAACCAAACTTGAACTGTTAAAACTAATTTTAGTGACTATTGATGGAATTACATATTTGCGTTTTGCGATAACCAAACGTGAACGTTCTCAGTAAACCCACCGATCATAAATCGATCTGCAATAGTCTTATGATCATCAGGCTCAGGCTCGAGAGGGAAGTTGCACACGATGATGACGAGGAAGAAGAAGAGGCATTATTAATGGCGGCAGCGGCTTCGATCATCACCTGGTGTTGATGATGATGATCCAAGTGGTGGTTTCCCGTTGCAGCAGCTCCCGAGTCAGGAGGTGGTGGCGGCGGCGGACACTGGTAGGCACAATGTTTGGAGCTACAATGTGCGTAGCCGTCGCCGCAGTAACGCGACTTACTGCAGCATCGTCCTGGGTCGCATTGCTCCCAAGCCCGGTTAGTTTGTCGGCGGCACCGGTGGTCCGGCCCTTCCACGCTCTCCGCCGCTGATTGATGAGTAATCAGCTGGCTTACCAGCGCCACTGCTACCAACAACAGTAGTACTAACAAACTCTCCATTATTTTTAGTTTTTTACGTGTCTGTGACTTGTATGAAATGTGAAGCAGCTATATACCACGGTCACATTTATACACAGTTGCGTCGACCAATAAATTGGTCTTGTTTACTCGTGTGACCTATTTTGAGGCGGTGACGGGATTCCCTAATATTAATTATGGTTAGAAGCATCCACCGAACTCGACCGTACTAGCCTGACGGGGCGGAGCATGCGTAAGCTTCTGGCAACTCCCAAATCCCCATCCAAAGATATCCCCTTGGTGAAAAAAATACAAATGGCCACCACGTGTTTTTATATTCTAAAAAAGAATAAAAAATAGGTTTGATAAATGGCTCAAAAAATCTCTATATTCTACTAGATAATAGTTTACGAACTGATCGCATATGGATTTCTAACCTTGTTTTTAATGTAAATCAAAGTTAAAAAGACTCTTTCGACACTTGTTGTGTAACCATAAAATCAATTCAAATTAAGGGTAGCCCGTAAATAGTTTAATTATTAGGTTTTGGAAATAGTCGGGGATAAGGAATAACTTTTTACTATTAAGTAGTGTTTAAAATAGAACAACAAATGAGTTGCAACTTAATGGAGGACAATGTTTTTAAAATATAGTATATCCTAAGTTTGAATAACACAGACTATCGCTTATTTTTTTAAGTATACGCAAACTACTACTGAGGATAGGATTATCGTTGTAGGGGTGTCCCGAATCACTAATTATAATTTTTTTATCCATACAAAACTAATATCGGAGGTTGAATAATCGTATTCCTAAATTTTAGGAGTGTCTCGAGACACCCCTAAACCCTCTGGTATCCGCCCCTGCGTATACCCAAAAATATTTTTTGTTTTGAAAATTATTTCCTAGAAAAAGTTGTAGTTTTTAAAAAGTTATGCGCAATGAAAAAACATTATGACTTGGGGATTGAGGAGCACAAAGTTATGGCCTTCCAAAGTTTGGCAAAATCAAAAAATTGCTCATTCGCGGTAGCAAACGACATTTTTTTGGGATGAAGGTCAGTTGAAGATTGAAAATCTTGAAAAGTTATGCGAAATAAAAAAAAATTGCTACTACCGGATAACCGAGAACAAAGTTACGTTAGTTTGAAGTTTCAGCCTTAGATCATGCCTTTACCGCGGCCGTCAACCCCGGTGAAGCTTTCATCGCAGCCGTCAACCATGGTGATGCATTCACCACTTTAGTCTGCCGCGGCGAATTCACCACGGTTGACGGCCACAGTGATGCCAAATAGGGATGGCAAGCAAATCCATGGCCGCGACCGCCCCCGACCCAGTCAACGCGGGGAATCCCCGCTTTGACCGGGTATGGGGCGGGTATGGGTAAAACCCGCAAAAAATTTGATGGGTATGGGGCGGGTATGGTTTTAGCCTCCCCCGCCCCATACCCATACCCGCCCCACCAAGAGAATTTCTTCACATATCAAAAAATATGCGGATTAAATTGTAATCTATCAATGATGATGATGATAACTCGAGAAAATAAATAGTAGAAATGCAATTGAGTAACCACCTTAATCAAAACCTAATTCATTTCCCTCAATTCTCCTTCCACTCTTTCACTTTCCCCCTTGTCAACAAGATTATGTTAGTTAATTATTACTTAGTAAATGTATCAAGAGTTGGAGCATAATAATTTAAAAAATATTGTAGTCTATATTATGTATTAATGGATGTTTTAGGATCATATTCTTTGAATCGTATTTAGAAAATGACCGTATTTTGTTGACTTCATGATATAATAGGTTTGTTTATGGTTATAATTAAAACTTTTCTTGTAAGTTTTAGGTATAATAATGTTGGATGTACGGGGATGGGTATTACCCATGGGTACCCGAAACCCACGGGTATAGGGATGGGTTTGCAAAACATTCCCCGCATGGGTATGGGGCGGGTATGTGTTTGGGTATTTGAAGATGGGGATGGGGATGGTTTAGACAAACCCGCCCCAAACCCGCCTCATTGCCATCCCTAATGCCAAACATGTGTAGATTAAATTTTTTTCATAAAACGTCTATATTTTAAAAAAAATTTAAAATAACGTGCGTATTTTGGAATTTTTTTTCAATAAATTGAGGGTTACTTAACTATAGGGCTCGTTTGCGTCGTGGATTTGAAAAATGAAGGTTTTGGTATAACTTGGGTTTTGAAAAACCATGGATTAATAAGGGTTTTAGGTTCATTATGGATTTGATAAACACCATTGTTTGTTTGATGGATTTCATGATGGATTTTGTTAATTAAATTTGTATGTATGAAGAGTAATTTACCTTTATTGCCCTTAATGATATAAGAAGAGAAAGCAAATATGAAGGGTATGTTGGTAAAAAATGATGGACTTCAAAGGTTTTGGCGAGAGTTCTTACCGCCAGAGTACAATTTGACTATTCCCCTCATTCATCATCAGAAGCGCCTCTCGTTCTCTTTGAGCTCTTTGCTTCGCGGGCAGCGTTTGCGAAGAGGATGAGTCATCTGAACCCCTGTTCCATTTTCATTAAGCAACCGCCGGCGCGTTCACCTTCTGCCAGCCGCTGTTTCTCCTTATTTCCTGCAATTCAACAATAGGCGATTTTTGGTAACTCTCTCTCAGTCTCTCAGTGTTGGTCCCTCTTGGACTTGGTACATGAATAGAGTGCATTGTGCAGTGCATTTGCATATTTTACTCAAAAGTTTGGTTCATTACATTGTTTTCTGAACAATATGGTCAAATCTTACTTATGCTGCATTCTCTTTTTTTTTTTTTTTTTTATAATGTACTTATGCTGCATTCTCAGGTCGTGTCTCGTTGCCATGAATTTGATCCTACGACAGTTCCAACACTTTCACAGGAAAACGTCGGCGACAGATGAAGAAGGAGAAACTGGAAACAAAGAAGGGGCTGCAACGGAAAACGAGTGGGAAATTGCGATACAAAACACGTCATAACTCATAAGAATATATGCATCTATAATCAACAATCAAGCTTCTCCCCTTCCTATACATCCAAAGTTCCAACATAACAACTCAAATCAAGCTAATCAAACAATAAAACAACACTGCAATGAAGAAGATGATGAACATCTTCCCCTTTCTTCTTATGAACGTCACCGCCACTAAACTAACAAACCAATCTGCACTGCTTCAGGAAAAAACTAGCCTTGTTATGATGCCTTATCTTTCAAGAGCTCCATGGCTTTTAATTCGCTCTCGATGACCTTCATTTTCAGGTCACATTCAAGTTTGGCTGGGCGAGTTCATCACCATTTCACCTTCCAACATACGTAGTACCTACAGTTTGATAACATTAACCTACATTCAGTAGACTTGTCATGACTCGACGAAGCAGGAGTTTATTAGGTTCCTCTTAATGTACCTGAGACATTCGGGGCCTGAAATCAGGATCGCGCTGGAGGCACAGCAGGGCACACTGCATCATGTTACTCAGCTGCGGCTCCAGATAGCAGTTGTTCAACCGCGGATCAACCAGTTCGATGGTGGCTTTCTTCTCCAGCAAGGGACGTGCCTGTACAAAGAGGAGGTTATTTTCTGGTGAACAATTAGAAGAAGCAATCAGCGGTGGAATAATCTCTTCTTGTGGCTGAGTTTTATCATTACCCATTCGGTCAGACATTGCTGTCCTTTGGGCTTTCCCACATCTATAGCCTTTCTTCCTGTGACCAGCTCCAATAGTACTACCCCAAACGCATAGACATCAGCTTTCTCTGTGATTCTCCCGCTTTGAACGTACTCTGGCGCCAAATAACTGCATTTTCACAATGGTATCTCAGAAACCCTTTATTTATGTTGCTGATAAAAATTCAAGCATTGCGGTTAAGGAGTGTATCTGTTACTGTAACGTGGTTTATATTTTACCCAAATGTTCCAATGATTCTTGTGCTGACCCCCAGGTCTGCCTGTGGCTGCCACCTTGCTAGTCCGAAATCCCCAACCTATATCATTCACATCAATGGAGTTATGATACTTAACATTCAAGGGGAAGGAAAATAAGGTGTAAATGAGAGAGAGAGGAAGGGTTTTTTGTATGGCATAGCCCTACCATGGGTTCAAAGTCGTGGGTGACAAGGATGTTGTTAGGCCTCATATCACGATGGACAATACAGCCAACCCTGCATTCTTCATGAAGGTATCTTAGCCCTCTTGCTGCTCCAACTGCAATTTTTTGTCTCGCAGCCCAAGTCAATGGATCTTTGTTCAATGCTGCAGGGAAAAGAGTAAGCCAGTTTAGTCGCCATTCTTCACCAAGTAAAATTGATTAACTATCTAGTCCTGTTGCAGAAAGAAAAACTCACCAAAGAGATGTGAATCTAGAGATCCATTGCAGATATATTCATAAACAAGCAGCCTTCTTCCACCCTCCACGCAGAAACCAATCAGCATCACTACATTCCTATGTTGTGCACAGCTCAAAACCTCTACCTCCGAGCAGAACTCAACGTCGCCTTGAGAGCTAACGGATTTATGCTGCTTCACAGCGACCACCCGACCATCTTGTAACACACCCCGGTAAACCGAGCCAAACCCACCTTCAGCCAAGAAATTCTCCTTTGAAAACCCTTTTGTAGCAGCTTCAAGTTCCCCATAGGCGAACCACTTTGGAGGGCTCCCAAATCCAGGGGCCTTGTGTTTACACATTGAACACAATGGAGGAGGGCCAAGAGGTACATTTCCGGATAACGAAATGGCTTCCCTCACACTTTTGCTCAGCCTGACATCAATTGGTGAATTAAAGGATGCAAGTGCAACTGATTCAGAGTCATTATCCAATCTAGACAAACTTGTGAGCAAATTCTTGTAAGCTGAACTGAGACATGTGTCATCACCATCTGTATCCAAACCCCTCAACACATGCTTCCTGATCTCGCCACTGGCATCATCCATCCAAGACCTTTGATAAGATCTCCTGAGATGAGGGGTCGATATTTCAGTAGCGTCTGTATCAGAGTCAGAATCGTATCGGCTTTGGGCTACGAAGGAAGGGTTGTTCTTCAAGTTGCTGAAATTGGC